AAAAAAAAGGCCCCACCCCGCCTAGGCGGATTTTTTATATATAATTTTTTTATTTTTTATTTGTTGGACGATTTTTCGAACACATAGATTGTAACTCGGTTCTATTTATATCTTATCCAACCCCTGAAAATCCACCAAACTTGCGCCGATATAGCAAATACTTTGATTTTTCTCCTTCCCGTTCCACTCACAGTTGACAAACTCAAGAGAGCTTCTCAGGCGAAGCAATGGCGGTGCCTCTCTTCAACCTCGGCCCCAATCTTCCCGACTCTAAGTCTGATTCTTTGGCCCTCCCTCTCATCCTCAAATATAAATTCATTCGTCGCAGGGACGATGACTTTCAGCAAGCAAAACACGTTTCCGGAGTCGTTTGGCCTCCTCGACCAAGCTTTCCTGTCCGTCATCAATTTCTTCGACTCTACATAACTATATCCAGTGGTTCAGCGAGCCCAGACTCAAGGTCAAGGGAGAAGCGAGGAGTGTCCTTTTGGCCACCAAGGTTGTAAAGTAGCTCTGAGAATATCAGTTCATGCTAACAATGGTGTGCCAGCTTGGTTTTCACTTTTGATGTGTGAAAATTTGTTCTGATGTTACAGGTACCGTCTGGGCAGATGACTTGGATACGAGATGGTCCCAAGTGTTTGAATGCTAAGAATATCACCGAGGCCATTGACGGCAGGTTTGCTAAAGCAAACAGTTTGTAATTTTTCTTCTGTTTAAACGCTTCGGGTTATGCTGTGCTGAGTGATGAGTTATGTTATGTTAAAATGCAGCTTAAGGCGATTGCAGACAGATTGCATTGATCATTGGCCTGATCGGTTTGTATGTAGATAAGTGTTTTCGGATTTTGCTTTCACATTACTCTAAATTTGCAGATTGACATGAATCTGCTCCTTTGAGTGAGAAAATAATAGTCATACCTTTTCACTGGTTTTGTTTCAATGTCATGTTTACCTCTTATTGGTATGATTTGATCGGTTCATAATTGTATATAATTTTGTACCCTTCTAGCTTATGATTTGGTTATGTTTTTGAGTTAAACTTGTGCTTTTAATCCTTTTTGTGTTTATCTTTCAGTTCATTGAGCTTTAGGTAATAATGATGGCTTTAGAGAGCATAATTCATGCAATTCAAGCATGTTAAGGCCTAATTTGGATGAATGGATGAAGAGCTTAAAGACAAACTCATTTTGGCTACAGCCCCCTGCCAGTCCAGTTCCGTAGGTCATATTGAAAATCCTCCAAGTTCTCAATACTTTCTTCTCCCTCTCACAGCTCTCAAACACATGTTCTTCCAAAATCCTCCAAGTTCTCAATACTTTCTTCTCCCTCTCAAAGCTCTCAAACACATGTTCTTCCAAAATTCTCTAAAGTTCCCAAACACTTTCTTCTCCCTCCTCAAAGTTCTCAAACACTTCCTTTCTTCCTCAAAGTTCTCTTAGTTTCCTTAATGTTTTCTTAGTTGTAATTTATTTTTCTTTGTTATGTAAATTCTTTTCTTTAGTTTTTCAAGTTTGATTAGTTTCCAAGTCTCAATTATGGTTCATGTTCTTATTTATTATGCTTATAAGTTAATATGCTAGTTTGAATGATTGATCACCATTTAGGCTTGCATGTTAGCTATCTTGGTTTGAATTAAGAGTATACACCATGCTTTAATTCGAATTGAACTATGAATAGGAAGAGTATGTATGGACATTCGACAACAGGGATTAGATACATGCTTGGTTGTTTAAATTGTTCTTCTATGCTTAATGGGTTCCTAACTTAATTTTAGGTTAGACAACAAATGATCAAATTAGGGAATTAGGAACACAAGGTTATGACCACACACCATGGCTTAACCATACTTTAGCTAGAATCAATCCATTAATCTAATTGAACTTGGGAACTTATCTGCTTGAGTTAGTTATTTCTTTCTTCCTTGTTTTATTTATTTCCTTTCTTTTTCATTTCTGTTTTGTGTAGGAAAACTGAATTGGATCATTCAATCACCAATCCCTGTGGAATCGACCTCGCACTTACATACGCTAAACTACCAACGGTTCGTGCACTTGCGAGTATCACAAATTGAGGATGCAACTGAATCCATGTTTGTGCAGCTGTATCAACACAACAATGCCCAGTGGTTATTAATATTTTTTTTTAAAGTCAATATATTACTTTTGATTAAGTGTATGCATGCATGCTTGGGTGTGGGGGTATATACAAGCCTGGGCTTCTGCATCTGTGCCATAGCAGTTCATGAATGTCTGCAGTACTCCTTGTTCTAAAAGGAAAATTATTTTGAAAATTATCTCTAGTTCCAGCATTTGGTCTCTTTACTGCATGTTGTATTTATCGAATAATGCCCGTCGCATGTTGATTTACTAATCTGCTTGTATTTCCATTCACAGGACATTGATATTGCAGGGAAGTACAGTGTTCATCCAGTATCTCTTGCAATAGGGTCGACACCTCTCCCTCCAATTCTTTATAGCTTCTTCAGTCTACAATTTGGTCTGAAGCTCAATAACCAAACTTCTTAAATTGACTGCTTCTTCTCCATCTTTTGAAATTGACGCTTTCATTCTTTTGAGAAACTATATCTGGAAGCTTTCTTTCATGTATGTCACAGACTCTCAATACAAATATTCACGAGGGAATTGTTTAACAAGCCTAAAAAAGATGCAAAATTTTTCATGTTCTTCCCTTCCAACAATGACAGACACAATCAATGGAACCCATCACAAAGCCTTTTTGAGTTCCTAGTGATCATTAAAAGGTTCCCAACCCTCAGCAGTATGCAAAACCAATTGATGATCAGGAATGTATAGTAAATGCTCTTAACCACTTGAACTACAAACTCCTCTACGAGTGCTAGAAATCTTAAATGTAGTACTCTTGTATATGGAAGATCAGATTGACATGTACTTAGTTATATTATAGCCAATTGAGTGATAACAAGCAACGAAAAGCTATAGAAACAGAGCAGCGAAAACATGAAGAAGACTGTTATTTCATTGCTTTTCTGAATAGAATGAATTGTACATCAGTGATCAGATTTTATATGTAACAGAAAGCAACTTTCTTACAGAATTGGTTCAGACAATCTTATTTCTATTAACAACTCCAACTAACTCTAAACAGCAGTTAACAGAATTACTCCTTTGCAAACTTCCTTGGAGATGCTCTTATTGCTGAGGAGGCTGCTTGCTTCTTCGCTTTATTGCGCGACGAAATGCTGTTTGTATGGTTATAACTGCCAATAATTTTTTCAACTCCAGCATTTGAGAGTCGGTCAAATTGTTGAGATCAATTCCCTTGGTAAATTGCCACCGGAAATATCTAAGGATGACATGATTCTTTAAGTCCTCAGCCGTGAGAGCAAATGCTTCAACTCTTGCAATGGACCGAACATTTTTATCCGAGATGGGTAATTCAGTGGAGGGTGGAAATTTTGATGCCCAAGTTATAAGTTCTTCTCCGTAAAAATCACCTTTCTTAATAGACTTAGGTGTTGAGGGATTTTTTTTTACTCCGTTGCTAGTTGTGTAGGTTCGAACAATCCCTTGCGTGACCAAGAGTATCATATCAAGGGGCTCCCCCTCTCGAATGATAAAGCTGTCCTTAGCATAGATCACTGGCTTAAAATGCTCACAGATTTCTTTCAACTCATCCAACCCTTCGATCTCTTTAAGCTTTGGAACCTATATATATCACAAGTTTAATTACATGTAATGAGTTATTCTTCCTTATAAGTCATATAAAAAAAAGAATGACGAGAGCATGTATGACTTACTTTCCTTAGCGTAGCCAAGCAAAGACAGCGCGTGACACGGCTTAAATATTCCGGGGGAAGAGCAGTGAGGATCTCCACATGACCATTTTTGTTTTCTTCAAGTACTCGATGTACATTTTCCATGATCCTTGCTTTCCAGGTCTTAGGGAAGCCATGTTCAGATAACCACAATTCTACCTCAAGACCTTTCATTTTCATCTTCCGTCTAAGCTTTTCTGACGTTGTGGTTGACAACTGCATATAGGTCTGCTCTACACAATAAATTTGTTCATCACATTTTGATCATAAAACCCCACATAAACTACTCATTTATGATCACTTGAAGGAAATTAAACCAGAGTCTGAGATCCCAGGAAACCTATACAATGTATACATGTATAGATTATAGATACTACTGGGAAAGAAAAAAGAAAAAAAGGCTAATTAAATAAACAAATTTATATGTTCAGTACATATACTAACCTGTAAATTCCCAATGAGATATAAAAATAGTAGGAGACCAATTAAAGAAATAAAAACTGCAAATAGGTTTTCCCATGCGTAAGTGCTAGTCTGGAGGTTTTGACCAAGAGAACTGCAGTAATGAAATGATCAAACTTTTTAGAATAGGATAACATATATATAATTTTTAATTTATTTATACAAAAAATATTGTACTTTAATCTAATCTAAACTACGGGTAGGGGGGATTCGAACTCGGGTGCAGAGAGGGAGCACATCCGCTTTAGCAAACTTGGCTAAGCCCATATATATGCAAGATAACATATTTGTTCATGCCATTAATTCTTTCAGAAATCAGAACTATTTGTTAATTTTCGATGACTTTCAGTTGAGTGTAAATTCTTTTTTCTCTTTAATTATTACTCAAATGCAAGAATTAAGATTATATATATTAAACGATAATTATACGTACAAACCTCAGATTTAGTAGACCCCACCAAAAGCAATACAAAAACTTCTCTGGAAAATCTGTCGACTGTAACACGCCAGACTGAATGGCATCTTTAAATATACCAAAATCGAAAAAAGTTGCATTTGATGGCTTTATAGGACATAAATCATTTAAAACTGTGATATTTCTCGGTGAAGGGTCATCACATTCACAGCTAAAAGTATTAGGTTCACATCCTTTTTCACTTCGACATGCATATTGCCAACAAACTGTCTCTCGTTGAATTGCATAAAAATACCAATTAGCTCCGATTACCTATAAGAACAAAATGGTTAGTCAATGATTATTGGATTTGGAGTTGAGAGAAAATTACATTTGAATTTAATTGACAGATATTTAAACAAAAAATGTAACTTCATTTTATTTCAATTTTTTGAGCATTTAAAATTAATTAAGATAATATTGAAACTTACATGACTGGCAAGGATGTACAAGAAGAAATTGAAAAAACTTTTGACCCATATGCCTGGCTTTTTAGCAGTCTTCTTATGTTCATGACACAATCGGTAGATGGGAAGAACTCGTGGCACATATTGCAACACAAGAAGAAAATTTAGAAACTTCATTGTTTTCGATGATCTTGAGCCCCTCATTTTTGAAAAGATGGAAAGTACTACCTGGAAATAAATAAGGGGGACCATTAAGGCAATTGTTAAATCTAATTATTGTATGACAAATGTTTGATTAATGAGTATGAGAGTTAAAACCTAAAATCTAAGCTCATACGGCTCTAAGTAATCAACCATGACTAATAGAGAAATTGGGAAATAAATCTACCTCACATATAAAACTTAACCTTATACCTGTGGGACGGGTAGAACAGCTAAAATGTCAAGAAGGATGTAAGATTGCAAAATCCTCTTAGCTTTTGCCAGAACATTCATACTCATGGATTTACTTCTTTTCGAAGGAACTCCCTCCTCTGCTTTTGTTGTCCTAGCTTTAGGTCTAGCTAAAATTCGATGCATCAGGTCGGCAATGTAGAAGAGATCTGTTAACGATCGTAAAGCAAAGGATATTGCCTTCAACCTTTTGTCCAATTTGAGGCACTTCCTATCCTCCTTAACTATAGGGATGTAAAAGAACAAAGGATCCAGTAAGACAGCCAACACACATGATACTACAAATATGGTGTTCCACCATTCTTGAAGGAATGACTTTGGTTGATCAGGAGTTTTATCAGTATTGGTAGATTTCGAAAACGGAAGTGCTTTTCTCCAATGCTGGATAGTTCTTTGTTGGATCGAACGTTGTTCACCACTGAAAAATGACAAAGCAAATAATGTATTGCTCCCACTAGGTAGAAGAAACATGAAAAAATCGTCATTGAGGGGGGCTTTTCTCTTATGTAACTATATGTCACTCAATGAGAGAGATATAGATACATTAATGTCATGAAATCGTTCCATAAAAGTTTTTCTCGTGAAGAGAAGAGTTGCACTAAGACTGCCCGTATTCAAGAGTTTCATGTTGTTAGTAGGCAAATCATGTACAAAACGAAAAAGGTATAGCGCAATGTACATTGTGAACGTTATGGATAAAATCCTGGAATATGTTTACAGTGATATATGGTTTAAAGTAAAATAAACTAACCTGGCAGGGGCAGCTTTCTCTTCCACAAAACGTGTTTCTTCTTTCCCATTCGCCATAACTTAAACACTCAAGCTTGTTTATGATGCAACTAAGGAGCTTTACAAAATCCCACAAAGTTCTGAATGTTGAACCCTCCCTGCAAAAATGGACAACTGAAAGTTATAATATTTATATATTGGACCAACCTGGCTGCTTTCATTTAAGCACTCTTAATTACTACAACGGTAAGTAGAGCCTACTACGTAAGCACAATGACGAATTTCTCTATAGGAACATAAGGTGCATTAATGCACCCGTGACACGGGAACGTATACATATATAAATACAATGACATGGAGATGGTATCAAATTTAAAGCCCTGTGTACGAACAAGTACGTATACCTTGCTTTCTTGCAAGTTGAAGCCAGGTATTCATTGTGTAATTATTATTTCTTTTTTAAACTAGGGCATATATCCCTCATCATGTAACTTTGACAGTAATTATTCCAGCTGCTTACTTTTTTTACCAGTTTGAAACACATGATCAACTGTTTAAATTCCCTCTCATAACACTACAAGAAAAAGGGTCAGTAATAGCATCAACCACAAAAATGGAGCCAATCCCTGAACACTGCCAAACAAAAACCGCACAAAATTCAATCAGACATAAAATTTTCGGAAGAAAGTTGATACCTTTAGGCCTGAGGAACATCGCAGCCCAAATGCTCTCTCTTTCGAGGGCGACAATCCAAGTGAATGAAAGGAAACTCCGTCACACGCTCAGTCTCCATGATCGTAGTGGGCCATACTTCGAGAGAGAGAACGAAGGGAGGGTGCGGGAAGGCGCCTAGCTGGTGAAGGTTTCCAATAATAGGTAGCTTTGGGGGGGAAGGTGGTAGTTTGAGTGCTTTCCCACTTGATCTTGCGAGTGAAAGCAAAATGTACAGAGAAAGGAAGATAATGGGAAGCAGGAAAAGGTTGCTTTGTAGATGTTGCCATGTTTGATTTAAAAGTGATAATAGAAGAGCCGGTGCTCTACTTTTTGCCATTGAATTATACCATAATTGTTAATTTATTTTTATACTTTTTTTTTTCCCGTAAATTAAGAACTTACACTATATGAAATAAGTTGTAATTTTTTTCCTTATTTAAAATAACAAATTTGTCATTAATATTGACAGAAATTTGAAAAGACAATGTGCAAGTCACGTGATAAAAATTTAAATGGACATCCAACAAATTGACAATAAGTCTCAAATTGGCCTTTTCATATAGTTTTTTTGTTAAAAAGTTTATGATCATCGCTCTTTTTTCAACAACAAAAATTGTGTCTATGGGTAAATTGACAATTATAATATAGTTCATGGAACAAAATGGTGGATTACCCTTTGCCTTTTGGTTTTGATTACCCACTAGAAATTTGAGTCCTTGTTTAATCTTATGGCTCCGTTTAGTTGGAAAGGAGGTTTGGGGATGGGAAATCAATTGTTTTCTCATGTTTGGTGAGTCAAGGTATGAGAAATCGTTGCCTTGCACATGGGAAAGTATGAGGGAAAGTGAAGCCCTCCTCCCCCCTTGGGTTTTGTTGTCCTCGTCATGGGAAAGTTCTAAAAATGAGCCAATATTAAATACATATTTTTCATGACAATATTACCAAACATGGGAAAAGAATCTCCATTTCCCATCTCTATGGAAATGAGATAAGAAATGATTTCCCTTCAAATCCGTTTCCATGAACCAAACGGGGCCATAGAGAAATTGTCCAGGCTTGGAAGGCCACAATGATTGAAGCTTACAATCAAACCTGTGCCAAGGGACAACATATTGACGTTTGGGATCCACAAGGATGTCCTCTTGCACCAAGGTAATTAAATAATGCACACAAAGTATACAACATGAAAAACGTTTGAGTAGGTGAGTAGGACAATAATTTATGTGTGGAATGCTTTTGTACCAACCAATACTGTGGGGGAAGCTACCCCATCCTCCATCGCCATTAAAGCCCCTTGTTCCAAGGGAGGGAGCTAAGCCTTGCGAAAAATTTACTACTAGCATAGCATTCCAAATGGCACACTAATTCATCTAACAGTACATTCACGTATTCACGTGGAATCACATACTTGTTGGTTCTGAATGACACATTAATTCATCTTAGAGTACATTTATGTGGAAATACATATTTATTGGGTCATTATGGTCCACTAAGTGATATATTTAAATAGATCATGATGACTAACATGATATTTCTATATTGAATACATGTAATAATATGCACATGTAATAATTTTGTGATCTTTTTGTTAACAATAAGAATATTGTGAACTTTTTGTAAATAATAAGAATATTGTTCAACTTATTAGGTAAAATAATTCGGATCGAGTTATCGGATTCAATATTCGATAATCCAATAAATCGAATATGGATCTAGTTGTGAATGATCTATCTGGTTTTTTTATATATCCGATAATCCAATAAATCAAATATGTATTGGATTTGGTTGATATTTTTTATATCCGATCAGATCAGATATATGGTGATATGATCTATCTCCGACCCATTTACAACTCTAAACTCATCACATATATTACTCCAAAGACGATAATAACTCAATGAATGTGATATTTTTTATCTATTTATACTAAGTATGTAAATATACCGTAACCCTTTGTCATGATAAAAGAATGTAAAGTTAGGTTTTGAAAACTAAAAACAATTTCAAGTTTTAAAAAATAAGGTTGATTTTGAAAACTACATTTTACTTTTTTTGAAAATTAAAAACAAAAACTATTACCAAACATGTTTTTAATTTCCATTTAAAAAAATAAAATGAAAACTTAAAAATGAAAATGAAATGGTTATCAAACAACTCTTTAGTTTGTTGACATTATTGATGAGCTCCTTCATAATTCTAGGCTTCGTATTTTCATTCATGATTCTTCTAGATATGTTTATATACCAAATCATGAGCATTATTTTTAGTGATTGAAGCTTCCTTTAAAACCTGCGCCAGAGGTTGGTAGTGAAGGTCACACAGTATTTTAAATATTACACAACTGTAGGACATGAAATTTTTTATTTTTTATTTTTTGGTATGGACCACGAGGTGGTCCTGGATGAGCCCCAATTATAGGTGGCACCTTTAAGCCTTAACCACAACCCAGACTAATCCCCGCTCACACCGGGTCGGCCCGTAAGGGGTAAAGTGTTGGCCAAAGTGGTGACTCCGTACAAGAGCAGGGATCGAACCCCTGACCTCTCTTAAGGAATGAGAGTGCCGAACCACTCACACCAACCACCCTGGTTGACATGAAAAACTTTTGAGTAGGTAAAGCAAGGACAATAATCTATGTGTCTCAATTTGGACCGACCAATACTGTGAGTAAAGACTTCTGTGACACGGGTATGTCAGGTCAACAAACCACATCAGTATCCCAGTCCAATCAAATAATGCCACCTATCAAGCATTTTGACTTCTCCTTTCCTCTTCCTTCTCCCTTTCCCTTTATCTTCTGTTTTTTGTTCTGATAAGAAACTTCAATCCTCCCTACCCCCATAAAAAATAGAAATTGAAAAAACTTTTGACACGTGTGTCACCACTTTAACCACCGAAGAGAAGAGAGAGAAGGCCTAATGGACCTCTAGGTGTGGGATTCTATCACAAAATGCCTCGGTGTAATTAGGAATGAACCACCTATATTTGAAGTACAGATTATTTGTTGTATTCTCTAATGTGAGACTTATACATCATGACTTTTATTGAGCCACCTACACCTACACGTGACACATATTGCAACACAACAAGAAAATTTAGAAACTTCATTGTTGTTGGAGGTTTTTCCAAATAAAAGCAAATGGTCGGTCGTGAACAAAGATTATTAAGCCAATTATTAAATCTTATTTGTGTATATATATATATATTTTTTTAATTAATATACCTGAAAGCTATTTTCTTTCTCTCTTTTCCGTTCATCGATAATTGTTGCTCTCTAAGATTTTAGATTTAACTCTTACGTTCTAGGCGGTAATATGAGAGTTAAAACCTAAATTAATCAACCATGATAAATAGAGAAATTGGGAAGTCAATTTACTTCATATATAAAACTTTACCTGTGGAACTAAAATGTCGAGTAGGATGTAAAATTGCAAAGTCCTCTTAGATATTGCCAAAACATCGATCAAAGTCAATCAAACCGCTAGACTTTGATCCAAGCAATGTTATGGCATCATGAACAAATCTTTTAGCGAGATTTCGCTCTGCTGTCCTAAACATGAACTTAATGAGCCATTAACATAAATAAATCAAAACACAAAACTCGTGAGTATTTTAATAAAAAAAAATAGAAATAATGTAAGTTACAAGATGTCTAAAGAAAGATCTGGTCAGTTATATATAAAAGTCAAAGCTTGCATAACCGTAATTAAGTAGTCTACTGCGTAAGCACGATGACGTGACTACTGTTGGTGTTGATGGCGAATTTCATTCTAGGCATTCTTGGGGTTGAGGATAGTGTACCTTTTTCTTTTTCTTTTTCTGTTGAACAAAAAAACCTACACAATGTAGAAAAGTGAAGGAGGGAGAGAGAGAGAGAGAGAGAGAGAGATTTTGAGAGTAATTTTAGTACTGAAAAGTCTTTCAAGTACTATTATTTTTTCATTCTTATAGGCTTATACTTATCAACCGAATTAGCCCCAGACTCAACAGCGGGCTTAGAGTCCTGGCCATTTCACAAGTTCACACAAACAAACTTATTCTTAATGCATACTAAAACATCTAGCTCTCTTAAGAAAGAGCACCATAATTAATATAGCATAAGATCCAATATGGTTTTTTCATGCTTAACTCAACATGTCTCAATCGGTACAGCAGCGGAACATGAAGAACTTCTCCATCTCCTTGCCACACTCTGCGCACTCCACTCTGTCCGGGATGTCTGGACCGAACCCTGGAATGATCAAACGGGTGCAGTGGTGCGGTGTGTGGCGCCGTATCAGTTCAGCTTTGAGTGCAGGCACGAAGCCTGAATCAGCAGCTTGATTTTTCCAGGCTTCAAAGTCATCCAAGGTGTCCAGAGCGAGCTTTCCATTGCCTCTGGCCGTCTCATTTGAGCCTTTCCACACCATAACCCATCCTTGGTCACTTCCATCATAGCTCAGCAAAGTCATGACCTCCTTCAGTATCCCATCAATCTCTACTGTCTTGTGGTGTTTAGCCTTGGAGCACCGCATGCTATCCATTCGGGACCAAAAGAACCAATTGGATGTGTAATCAGGCCAGAACCGGCTGAGGTTCTCTGTTTCAATGACTTTGTTCACTTTCCTGATCCGCTCCCTGGTTGCTGTACTTCTTCCTACATAAAGCAGTTCCAAGGAGATACCAGCAAGTCCTGCAACAGCTTTTGCTCTCACCGTGAACTTTCGAATCCATTCCAAATCATCACCTCCATACAAGCATATATATTTCCCCTTGTCGATCTGATAAAGCAAAAAAGTTCCCACATTATCTTTAGTTCTTCATGAATTTGGACTTAATAAATGGATACATATGAATGTACGAAATGCTATCTAACTTAAGTACTCTCGATTGAAAGTAATGTATGGTTCAGATTCACAGTCTATCAACATATTACGCCAAAGTTTCTACCACTTACCCAGTCCAGTATGTTTGAATCAATGCCATCGGCAACGAGCTGGAGTCTCCAGCTCTCTGCATTCCACAGTGCCTGCTCTTTCTCATCAGTGAAAGGGAAAGCCAGATTGCCCCATACCCACAGCATGTGGACGGCATTCAGGGAGGACACTCTTCCTTGTGGATCCAAGGACACTATAATCATCTTCTTGTCGAAATGCCAATCGTTTCTGATGAACTTGATTACCGGTGGCTCAATTATTAGAGGGTCGTGCACCACGTACCACTGCATCTTTGACTTTAGTTCCTCAAATCTAAACCGTTTTTCATCCCAGGTGGTTACGTCCACAACGGGGAGCCAAACAATCTCATACTCAACTTCTGCCCT